CCTCAACCACTGAGAAACACCAGCTTGACTCAAAATCCTTTTATTGATTTGAGAGAGAGGGAGAGAGACAGAGAGTGAGAGAGAAAAAATGAGACAGAGAGAGAGAGAAAGGAGAAGATGAAGAACAAGAACAAGAAGGAGAAGAAGAAGAAGAACTAGAAGAAGAAGTAGAACAAGAAGAAGAAGTAGAACAAGAAGAAGAAGAAGATGAACAAGAACAACAGGCAGAATAAGAACAAGAAGAAAGAGAGAGAGAGACAGAGAGGGAGAAAAAGAGAGAGAGAGAGAGAGAGAGAGAGAGAGATCAATGTGCCCTCGCACCCACAGGTTTGTAGATAGAACAACAGAGCTTAGCAAAATGGTGAACAGAAATATACACGTCCCACCGGCAGGCCAGCAGGACTGGGGCTCAGGTTGACAAGAGCCAGGGACCCCATCACATGTCTTACGAGTCGTCCATCAGTTCAAGGATCATTTCCTCTATGTCATCCTCCTTGATGTGGTGCACAATGCGCCAGAACTGGCCCATGGAGTCCCGGTACTGGCTATCCGGTTGGAGCGTCCACATCCAAGGCAAGGTGGTCGAGGTGAGCCGGCTGGTTTTGGGTGCGATATACCCACTGGGGATGTTCATCTGGCACAACCGTATTTGCTGGACACCTCCTGTGTCCATGACGAGATGCAGCCATGTGCGCTGGTTTTCGTCCTCATAAACCGAGGACCCACAAAAACCCAGGTAGCTGGGATGCGAGGTGAGGTGCACAATGATTCTTGGGAGTTTGGCCATGACTCCTCCGTGGTCCAAATTGCAACAGCCACAGCTTCTCAGAGCCTCTCGATACTTCAGTCCTGGTATCGAATGACAGGGTATGGGGTCTCCAAACGCATTTTACCCCGGCATTTATAGTTATTGTTTTTACGGGTGAGTTTGTGGTTGCCTTTGGTTTATTTCGCAAATTTATAAATGTCAACTTGTCTTTCTTTTCAGTTTTAGATCTCTCTTCTCAAATTAACTGTACAAAAAGTACGTATGGTACAATATGACTCTATGAAGGTAACATGGTCCTATGGAATTTTAAAAACATTTTTAAGTGACAGTTCACATAGAACCTTAGGTTCATTTCAGGGGTACACCCCAATGATTAGACATTATATAATGGACTATGAAATATGGAATTAATCCCATACCCTCCTGACACCATACACAGTTGTTATAATAATACTAGAGTCTCAGGGCACAAAATTTATGCACTCAGGGGGGTTTCTCAGCCAACCTTTCAGGCTTTCCCAGTCCAAGACCACTTGAGGGATGTCCAACTGATAGTTTAGGCCCACTTTAGTGCTGCCGTGGAGGCTCCCACCAACCCCTGTGCTCGGGAGCTGTGAGCCTGGCTTTTGGATGAACGCCGCTCCCCCTGTTGGAGTGCACTGACCACTGTTTGGACAGCTCTTCTCATGAGCATCTGCCCCCAGTGGTCAGTGCGTGTCATAGCAACCAGTCGTTCACCAATTTGGTCAATTTGCATATTTGCTTTTTCTTATATAGGATAGGGTCTCTGAGCAGTTTGGGAAGACTGAAGAA